GATGAGCCATATCGAATTATCTGAGAGCTCTCTATATAATCTAATAGATTCTCAGTTTATATTTTCCGTGAATAATAAGCTGATAATTCGCAAATACCTATATCAGAAAATTTAAAATACTGTCAGATACTCTAAAATGACAAAAACTAATGCAAATAATAGATTTTCAAAATAGTTTTGTTATCAAGGAATTGATTTATTATATTCCTAATCAATCATTCATAATTGTTTAGTATAATACTATCTACTTAATAATTTGCAATTTGTCGTTCTGCATATGAATGTGCTTTTTGGTAGTGTTGAAAACGCAATGAAAATAAGTATTTCGTCCGAATTCCTTGTATTCGTTCGCCGTCTGTGCACCATAAATGTCAAGACCAACAATTATGATGGACACTACAAGTGGGTGAGTACTATGAATGAGAAAATTGAGGAACAGCGTCAAAACAATAAACAACTGGTGAGGACACCAATGTCATAAATTTTGTAAGATTTGTAAGAGAGAGTTTTTTATACATTTGTACACCCAAACAAGAAATAAAATACCTTCATATAGTACTTTATAACAAAAAGAGATTTATTTGAATGCTGGCATGCGTGCTTTAAAAGTAGTATTGCAACTCCAATAATATCAGTAGAATATTGATCTAATTCAGAGGTTCCCAAATTCTTTTTCTTCATAAATTAATCCCAAAATTTTACTGGTTCCGACGGACCCCCTGCAGCTACATTTTTACCATATTTCCAAAACTCGACAAAAAATGTAAAGATCAGATCCAACTATGGAAATTTTCGTTACGGCTGCGTTCCAACCACGAATTAACAGTTTTTGAATAAAAAATGAGAATTGATTGGTTAATTAATTAACTGATTGTTTTGTGAGTGGATGGCAAAAAAGTGATTACACCCAACTTTACTTTTTTGACATCTACTCACATCACCAAGAAACCAATCAATTCTCAATTAATTTAATTAGAAAACTCTCCATTGGGTGTGGTAAAAATAAAAATAGTATATTTTCTTATGTTATTTATTGAAATATGTAATTATTACACTATTGCTCAGTCGTAATGTAATTAAAATTAAACATTATTTCACCTTCAGCTCCTCATTAGTGCCAAGTTAGAGTAGCTCCTCTTCTACATTCTCCACTTCTTTGCCATTCTTATTTAAAATTTATAATGGTGAAGAATCAAAAAAGTTCATGCAAGATTGCAAGCACACCCAAGTTGTATTTTGTTGCCTTTGCACGTTTGAACAAGCGTTGCGGAAGGCAGCGGCGGTTTGCAAGTCTCGACGCGTACTGAATATGAAATTTGCCAGTTTTTACATGTAATAGTCGCTGAGCTTCTTGAAATATTATCTGCCTACATTGATAGGTAAAGTCAAGCCAACATTTTAGTTCTTTACTATCTAAACCAGATACATTCTCGTGGACCCCCGCTTATGAGTTGTGAACCCCCATTTTATGGTTACGCCAACGTAAACTTCGACGAGTCTCTCGTGGACCCCTGGGGGTCCATCTGGACCACTTTGGGAATCACTGATCTGAATAATTGAATTCAAATATATTTATTTTTTATTTATGTACAGTTCGGGTCTAATGGTGAACATTTCCAAACATTTATTAGGAAAAATGAGAGTGAGTTTTAAGTACATTTTTTCTTGAAATTATGGTATATTTATCATTTATTTACAGATTTCCAAAAAGAATATGAATGTAGGTACTGAAAGATCAGGAACAGCTGAATTTTCAAGAATAAAACAGTTTGTGGTAGAAAATTGAAGTATCTGGTAAACAAGTTGTCATAGGAACCGCCCCCAACCTATTTAAAAAAAAATGGTAGCGCCCTCCCGAGGACAAATTGTGCAACAACATTGTCTCTTAACAAAAAGTACCAAAATGATACCTTTTTAAGTAATTTTGTCCTACTTTGATATCTTGCTTTATTCAAAACGTAGGAGTGGGGGGATTGATCTTCAATATATGACCTGCAGTCCTCGTGGTTCTGGTTCCTTTTCAGTGGAAGAGCTTGATGGAGCAAGAGCCGAATCGATCCCTCTACGAAACCCTTCATCACTTGCAGCTTGAGAAATGGTTCTGATACAGATTCTATGGAATCCTACTTATTCATCAAACTCAAACATCTGTTCGTGCAGCTGCAGTTTCATAAGAATGTATCATCTTTTCCACTAACAGACTTCCTGAAGTCTTTGAAGACAAGATACTCTTTAGGACAACAAGAGGATTAAATTGGTGAAGGCTTTCGCGGGTTTGACGGCCGTCGTAGCAGGAAAATAGCACCGCTTTGGATTGAATGATTTCGTACAGTCTATCTCGAAAGTAACCCTCCGTATAATTCAATGTTTAATCAAACGTGGTTGTTTCGGATGGACTCCGTCTTCCGGTTTTTTGTATGTGAATAAGAGTTTATTGATAATTTCTCATTTTTAATCTTTTCTTCCTTCATTTGAAAGTTCCCTATCCTATATGTTATTGGAGAAGTAGAAAGCCAAATTTTTTTATTCTGTGGTTATCCTGAGAGTACCTATAATATTCGTATATACAATCTAAATTTCTCCGTGGAGTTCTGCTTATGTCATCGTAATGACATTCATTCACCTATTTTTATTGGTGTTTCATAATTTCATGATTTGTATTTTGGAAGTGTTACAAATTTTGAAATATATATTCACTTTATTCTTCATTTCAGCGATCTGCTTTTCTGTTCTACATTATTTTACAAATGTTTCCAATTATGAGGATGACCCCAGAATTATTTTTCGATTTCTCTCGTGACTTGTGAGAAGGTTGAGTATTTTTTCTCATCGGGGATTGAATTATTGTTTGAACTGTATGGCACAGGCGCTTATACAAGGGGGGTAATGGAAGTAATTAACCATCCCCCCACGGATTAGTATTACACTTTTACACAGGCTGTTTATGAAAGTAATAATAATTTTAAGTAATTTTCGATTTGTATTATTTGATTTTGTTGATGGGCAGTGCGAGAGAACATTTACATTTTTTAAGACGTGTTCGTACTTATCTCAATCAAATAGAAATTCTATTGTTGGATCATAATTTACCCCTTAGGACGAAAAGTTGTATACGCCACTGGTGTGAAACGGTATTTTTTTTATAAAATAGTTATCTACATTCAGATTCCAGATAACAGTTCATTGAGGGGATGTTGTTGAATAAAATTGTATTATAATCGTAAATATTTATTTTTCAATTGCAGAAATAGCAATCTTTTGAAGATCAGATTTTCAGTCTCTCAATAATATTCAAAAAGAAGGTCAATGCATTTCCGGTAACTTAATAATGCCAGTTTCAATACAAAATACCAATGTTGGTATTTTCAAGTGTTTACACAGGTTGATTAGAAAACCAAGGAATATCTCAAAATCAAATAAAAATTACATGCTAGCAGGAAATTACAATTTTGTGCAATGTAAATAAAATTATATTCATTTAAAAAAATTGAATGTTGAAAGAGACGTATTCATTCTGGATAAGATTTTAATTAGAAAAGAGTACATTATGTACAAAGAACCCCTTTGGAAATTCGCTTCATGTGAAATTGGATGAAACTTTGGAACATTGAAGGCATTAATAAAGCCCTGATCCAATGTCTCTTTGAGTGCAAGGTTAAAAAATCAACAGTTTTTGAGTTAATCAAGGGCAAGGTTGACAAATTCACGTTTTCAGTGGCACTACCCTATATCATGAACAAATTAATTATATTTAGAACTAAATATTCCCAAAAATATAGAAAAATAGGCCATTTAGGGTATTGAGAAGTTGGCATATTGGTCCTATGACGTGATCTTTTAAATTTTGACCTGATTCATTTACAGCAACCCCAAAATCGCCCTTGGTGATTTTTTATCAAGTTGAAATTAATACCGAGTGGTTGGAATAATTTATTCATGCATGATGTAAGTGACTACCACTGATAGCTGAAAATGACAATCTTTGGCTTTGATTATCTCAAAAACAGTTAATTTTTAATATCGCATCTATTAAGCCATTTGATTAGGGGACTGATATCTTCAATGTCCCAAAGTTTCAGCCAACTTCAGCAAGAGCCAATTTCCATAAGGGTTCTTGCACGTTGTTTTTTTTATTAGAATTAACGTATGCAAATTATTTCGCTTCACTTCAAAATTCCATGTGAGCTTGTTTTTACTGCAAGTTGTTAAAATATTGTTTTAGATGGAAGATTCATTTTTCAAAGGAAAGAATATACTTGATAAATGTTGAATATTTTAAATCGCTCATATCATGAAGGTGCACAGTTATTAAGATTTTATATTTTCAACAAGAAATTATTAGCAACTCGAGAATATATGTAGGTATACAGGATCTTCTTGAAGTGGTCCTACTCTTGAAATTTCTAAACCATAAGAAATAGAATAGTTAATTTATTAGACATTTTGTTATAAATCATATGGTTTCATTTCATTTCTGATGGTTTAAATACTCTCATGTTAGGATATTACTTTGTCTAGTTTTCAAATTGAAAATAGTGAAAAATAGATATAAGTCATAAATATTCGTGTGATGACTCATTCAATAAGGAATTATGTTCAGAAAAATATACTAAAACCATTTTTTAGCACATACAAAAATTGCCAAAGTTTAAAACAAATGAAGATGAAGAAAAGAATAAAGTATTCAGGTTTTTGCGAATACTTTAAAAACTATATGGGATTTAGGAAACACAACTATCAATAAATTCCAATAAAAAAGTCGTACTCCCGAACCTCTTTCTCTATTATTTATAAATTTTATTGAATGCCAAAAATAGGCAAAATGATTATAAACAATTAAATATTGTTTTGAAAATAAATTCTGAATATTATCCAGACAATAAAATTAAAGTTTTTTTTTAAATTCTAATGTAGTGAATTTGTTTATAAATAATTTATGAACAAATTTGGCTTAAATTTTTTTGTTCAACGTAACATAGTTTTTGAAATATAGCCAAAAACCACATTTTTTCTTCATCTTCATTTGTTTATAATTTTTGAAATTATTTATGTGCTAAAAACGGTTTTAGCAAATTTCTCTAGACATCATTCCAGATCGAATGAGCTATCACACGTGTTTTTACGACCATTATCTCTATTTGTCACCATTTCCAACATGCCACATTAAAATTATCCCGTTCAACATAACAATGAAAAAGCAGGTGATGATTTCAGTTTGACTATAAGAATAGCTGTCTTCCTATTGTTTGCTGACTTTTTAAATATTTCCGATCATGTTGTAGATGACTTCGTAGATTTGGGACTGTTAAGCCTTCAAACAATTTCCTGTCACTATTTAAAAATTTAATGATTTCATCTGAAGTAGGATACTGCCCAGTTTCATAGAAAGACTGAAATGCCATTCTGCAACGCTGTTTCATTGGGGTACTCCAACCAGATCTACCTAAAAAAATAAAAATTTCAAAATAAAATTAAAAACATTTAATAATAAACTCCTTATACTATGATGAATTTAAAATGGAACTTAAAAATATTATTCCATATATAAGAACATCAAGCAAAATATATAACGGATGATCGTATTTTCAAAAATTTTTATAGCATTTGCTCACAAGAGTATAAAATAATAATTATTCAATTGGATGAATTATTTGATTTACACACATTATATTTATTTTACATTCATTTACACATATATTCATTTACCTCATCTTATACTTTGTTCCAATATCTATATATGAATTTATAGTTTCAATGATGTGTGGTGTTAGGAAACCTATAATGACTCAATATAGTAGTAATTTTGTCGAAGACTTGTATTTTCAAACTGTTCACATTTCCTTATATTACCCAACTATTAGGATTAGAAGATGATCACTCTGAATTACTAATTTGAATGAACCCAATCAGATTAATGAATTGAATATAAATCATTACCAACTTTCAATAAAGAGGGATTTTTGATAAAAAGCATAGTAAGAAATATTTGATTATATATTTTTTGAATTGAAGGGGTTATATTTTTAGGAGTGATTATATTATATATATTTTTTGTTATTGGTAACTGAATCTCAAGAAAACTGAACTATTTGAGGAACGGAGATAAATTCTACTTACCACTTTTCATTCTTTTCTTTTGATTTACAATCCAAGATCGAACTTGGATTGCAGTTCGATCTTTCAAAATTTGATTTTTGTATATGAATTCCTGGCAAGTTTCTAAACTTGGAACGTTTTCATTATCCTCCAACAAATAATTTTTGAAAATATCCTTAACAGTAGATTTTTCTGGAGTTGACCACGTCTTTTTATTATTTACTCTGAAAGTATGTTTTCTATTCAACCTATTGGTTGACCGTTTAAGTTCTTCAGGTTGTTCACTATCAACATAACTGTTTTCCTCAGAAATTTTTGACAAGTCTGGTTGATATGTGGGATCAATCATGTCTTGTATGTCGTCATCATTATCATCACTACTAGGGACTGGAGTCGTATAACTTTCTGGATCAGAAATGGAATTGGTCTTAATATAATTACCATGTGGTGTGTAGGTAGTTCTGGCTGAATATTGAATATTACTTGTTGTGTTTGAACCGCTGGCAAAATTCAAGACAGGTACCACTTCCAATATGTCCTGGGAAGCTGGTCTTTGCTTATAAATATTTTCGTGGATGGAAAAGTTATGGCCCATGAAGTCGCTAACTCGTAACCTTTTTTCTTTTTCAAAGTCTGAGGTTATTGTAGCAAGGTGTTTTCTGAGAGAGGTTGCATTTAAATGATTACTATTCAATCCTTCTGAAAGACAGAAATCTTTTAATGCTTTACCAGCTTTAAAAAACGGTTCAGCTGAACCAAGAGGACATGCGAACAAATAAGGATTATCGTTTAGTATATTTGCTTTTTCTCTATATTTCAGTATTATTTCAATAGCCTCGATTTCATTTTGTCCAACTAAAATAGCAGCATCACGATTCAATTTTCCTCTTGTTATGTACCTTCCATATTTACTTTCGTATTCCATCATATTGTCTTTGAAGTTATTTAACTGATCCTCACTTAATAGCTGTAAATTTTTATATTCAAATATTTGTGTCCTTTCCACATCACCTGGCCTCTTACGATTAAAAGTCATTAATTTCACTAAAACTGTTTTGCATAATGTTTTCCAAGTCTTTAATTCAAAGTCCTTTCTTAAAATGTCCATAGAATGCAGTATTCTTTTATCGAGAAATTTCTGCAATTGTTTAATATCTTCTAACTCTGGAAGAAGGACTTCCTTAGTTCTCTTAATTTGACTTCGATTTTCATGTGCCATTTTATTTATAAGATAGTTGGATCTAGTTGAAACCAACTTACAAAATCTTTGAGTTTCTTTTTCTAGTTCATAGTCTTTATTTTTAACGGCTTCTGTCTCTAAAATGTCTCCAACATGGAGTATCAATGTCACAGAACTAGGGCCTATACTAGTAACAGCAAATCTACCATCTGACCACCCCCCTAAACTATAAATGGCATTGATGAATGTATCAAATTTATTGCAGTCATATATAGATTTCACATCTTCAATACTGGGATCTATTTTTTTCATTTCTAGAAGAATTCTGGATAACTGACGTAATTTACTTCTGATCATTTTATCATGATGATAGCTTGATGAATATTTTATTGCCAAAAAATTCCCAAACTGAATAGCAAGGTGGTCATGGGCTATTGCTCTTGTGACTACATCATCAGTAAGAACAGGAAAAATTCTTGTTCTCAATGGTTCTGAAGCTATTTCATGGATATTTTGTAAAACAGAACGACTACAAGTGATGGTATTTTTTAATCCCTTTCTCTGAAAATATTTCTCATTCTGTCCATTTCGTGCTATGCAGTATTTCTCTGAATGACTCTTTAAATTTTTTTTTGAATAAAATCCCTTACAATAGGGACATGGCATATTTTTAGTTGTAGTAATATTTTTGAATTTTCTCCGCATCCTGATGATTTCTCCATCACTGGCAGCTTTTGAATTGAATAAAAAGTCACCTTTTTTTTGGATCTCTGTAAAAAGAATTCTTCTCTCATGGGTACCTGTAAAATAATTAAAATACATTCACTCATTATTTATCCAATTTTTGATTTCTTTTTTATTAAACAAAGTATGTCAACGTGAACAAAACTTCAATACAAATTCTTTTTCAAACTCTTATGTTGTAAGTTATCAACGAAATAAAAACATACATGGTGTCTCCCTTCAACTTAATTTTTGTATCCATCTGTTTAAACAGATTTTTAAACAGAAGCTATATTTTGTAGCTGAGCTAACAATATAATATTTAATGTGATTTCATTCCTATGTCATCAACTCTATACCTAGGAATTATACAAACGAAAGTTCAAATAACACAATTTTTAGGTTTTTCACTGTATATAGAATTCGATTTTACATCAAGCCATAACAACTTAATATAAAATGACTTATCAATAAATTGATGAATGTAACTGTTACTACGTGGTAAGAAATCATAATGAAGGAAAGGGAATTGAAACTTTCTATGTTTTTTACCACTTTCATTCAGGTCTCTTCAGAAAAAACAATGTGGAAGTGGCATTCAGACCACATGCAGGGTTATCTGATTTCCTTTTCAATGCCAAAGATAAGGTGGACAAGTTGGAGAAATCTGGAGTTTATAAGCTTAAGTGTCCGGAGTGTAATAGTGTTTATGTGGGACAATGTGGTCGCAATTTCCAAAAACAGTATGCTGAACGTGAAAGGTCCTTCAGACTAGGAAGAAATAATTCTACGTTTTCAAACCATTGCTTGGCATGCAACCACAAGTTCCCGAATCTAAACGATACGGAAATTTTTCACTATGCAAAGATGGGTTACAAACTCAATTATTTAGAATCCTTGGAAATTCACAAGCATAAACATTGCGGGTGCAACCTGTTAAATGACC